GGAGGTGGTGGTGCTGGTAGTGGTGGAGGTGGTGCTGGTAGTGGTGGTGGTGCTGGTAGTGGTGGAGGTGGTGGTGCTGGTACTGGTGCTGGTGGTGGTGGTGGTCCTGTTGCTGGTAGTGCTGGTAGTGGTGGTGATAGTGGTCCTGATGCTGGTGGTGCTGGTGGTGGTGGTGGTGTGTGTGATGGTATGTGGTGGTACTAACGACAAGTGCTCTCATCATTACTGTTGTTGACCTTTCTGTTGTTGCATAATAGGGTCTCTTGCTGTTGATTCTGTTACTGCTGTCACTGTTAATGCTACCGTTGCTGTCGTCGTCTGTTGTCGTAATATTCTTTCTCACCGTTGATGCAGGTACAATACAAACGCTAGCGGATCATCATTCATCACGGTGCTTTACCTGCCTATAAAAACCCTCACAGCGCGTTCTTTGCCCTTGAGTTTGATGGGGCCGACCTCCTATTGCCCCCTCCCCAACATTACCCACAACCCTTACCCACACCCCCACACCTGTAACACCACTCACCCTCACCCCACACCTCCATCATCCACACCCCACACCTGCAACACAACTCATCCCATACCTGTAACACCACTCACCCCTACACCTGTAACACCACTCACCCCTACACCTGTAACACCACTTACCCCACACCTGCATCACCCACACCTGCACCATCCACACCCCACACCTACACCACTCACTCACACCTGCATCACCCACACCCCACACCTGCATCACCCACACCCCACACCTGCAACACCCACACCCCACACCTGCAACACCCACACCCACACCTGCAACACCCTCACTCAACATCCATACCCCCTCACACACACATACACACACAAATACACCAAATACACATAAACACACACACACACACAACATAACATCAGACATGCACACATACACACACAATCACACACACACACATACATACACACACACACACACACACACACACACACACACACACACACACACACACACACATGCACACACACAACACATCATAAATGCACACATACACACATCACAAACACACACACACACACACACACACACACACACACACACACACACACACACACACACACACACACACTCTCTCTCAAACATTCCAGTTTCAACAACACTAAACAGGCGGGTACCTCACTGTTATTTAACGGCATAAAGCGAGTTATGATTGACTGAGGGAGGAAACTGCCCTTGGTATTTATGTTCTTGTTATGTGTTGAGCTGAACTTATGTCGACGTTCTTGGCTTTTTTCTATCTCAACTAACTTAACCTAACCAAACGTTGCCTGTCATAAAATAACCAAAGCAATCTTAACTTAACATAACCCAACCTAACCATAACGTAACAACTGTAATCTTAACTTAATCAAATGTCACCTAACCTCACCTAACCTAACCTCACCTAACCTAACCTAACCTACCCTAACCTAACCTAACCTAACCTAACCTACCCTAACCTCACCTAACCTAACCTAACCTAACCTAACCTAACCTAACCTAACCTAACCTAACACAAAATCTACCTACCTTAACTCATCAAACCTAACTTACCCTATACCTTAACCTAACTTAACTCCACCCAACCACATCGAACCTTATTGTCACCTAACCTATAAATTCACCCCTGACAAGAGCTAATAACATACGTGATTTAATCCACTAACTAATATATACAACAATCTTACCAACGCCTGGTTCTGTCTCACTTAAGCACCATCCCAATGGCGTCTAATTGGCACAGAGACTCTACACTGTATATACTTGAAGTTATTGAATACTTTAATATTACTTAATAAAGGAAAATATGTTAATTTGAGAACGTTTGAGTGTGTGTGTGTGTGTGTGTGTGTGTGTGTGTGACCTTCATCTACGACATTTCTCTCAAGACATGACACGAAGACGAACAGCTTGGGGAGGGAAGTGTCGTGTACTACTCTCTCATCCACCACCACACTACTGCCTGCCCTCATCCACCACACTACTGCCTGCCCTCATCCATTACACTACTTCCTGCCCTCATCCACCACACTACTGCCCTCATCCATTACACTACTTCCTGCCCTCATCCACCACACTACTGCCCTCATCCACCACACTCCTGCCCTCATCCAACACACAACTGTCCTCATCCACCACACCACTGTCCTCATCCACCACACTACTGCCCCTCATCCATTACACTACTTCCTGCCTCATCCACCACACTACTGCCCCTATCCACCACACTACTGCCCCTCATCACCACACTTGCCTCATCCAACATGCCACACAACTTGAAGGCCATTATATTAAGGTGGAATGAATGACACGAAAGCAGAAGAGTGGAGTGATAGGGAGGCGAGTGGGGGTGATGGGAGACGAGGAGTGATTGGGGAGGCGAGTGGGAGTGGGATGGGGAGGCGAGTGGAGTGATGGGGAGACGAGGGAGGATGGAGAAGGAGGAGTAATGGGGAGGTGAGTGGAGTGATGTGGGGAGACGAGGGAGGATGGGGAGACGAGGAGTGATGGGGAGACGAGGAGGATGGGGATGATGAAAAGAGTTGCTAGTGTGTGTGTGTGTGTGTGTGTGTGTTGGTGGGGGGGGTGAGAGGGCAGTAGATGGAGGATGGGAAGTTTAGGGCAGGGGTAGGCTGTGGAGGTGATAGAGGTGGGGGGAAGTGGAGGGGGGGGGAAAGGAGGGGGGCAGGTGGATCATGGTTCACCTTGGGCCCCTGTTACTCCAACCTGGTAAACCCCGTCAACCCCCCTCCCCTTCCCACCCCCACCAAACACCCCAGCCTCTCTGACCTCACCATCCCCGATACTCCTCATACATACATACATACATACATACATACATACATACATACATACATACATACATACATACATACACACACCCACTTACATCTCTGAGTATGGGTGCACAATAAACTGGCTACAGTACGTGGCCCCTCCAAAAAACTGTGTCTTTCCCACCATCCTCCTCCTATTCCACAGTTACCTCCCCTTCACTACACCCCAACACCCCTTCACTACACCCCAACACCCCTTCACCACACCCTAACACCCCTTCACTATACCCCAACACCCCTTCACTGTACCCCAACACCCCCTTCTCACCACACACCCCAACACCCCTTCACTACACCCTAACACTTACTACACTCTCAACACCCTTCACCACACCCTAACACCCCTTCACCACACCCTAACACCCCTTCACTGTACCCCAACACCCCTTCACCACACCCCAACACCCCCTTCACCAAACCATCACTCTATCGGTACAGGAAATGAGAAAAAGATACACTGTTACTGATAGGGACCCCGCTAAGTGAGCTTCGGGTACCAACTGTATTACTGTACCATTAATCTGATTCAACTCCCGGTAACAGAACTTCACGTAAAGTCCCGGTAAAAGTGCTTCAAGTATCAGTTAATGCATAGTTCCGGTAAAAGTGCTTCAAGTATCAGTTAATGCATAGTTCCGGTAAAAGTGCTTCAAGTATCAGTTAATGCATAGTTCCGGTAAAAGTGCTTCAAGTATCAGTTAATGCATAGTTCCGGTAAAAGTGCTTCAAGTATCAGTTAATGCATAGTTCCGGTAAAAGTGCTTCAAGTATCAGTTAATGCATAGTTCCGGTAAAAGTGCTTCAAGTATCAGTTATTGCACATTCCCGGTAAAAGGTCTTCAAGTAGCAGTTAGTCCCGGTAAATGATCTCTAAATAACAGCCAGAATACCGCTACCAAGTTACACAATGTTGGTTATTTACCATCCCTTGCTGCTGGCCGTGGGTGGCGTCGCCTTTCCCTGGCCCGCTGACGTGTGTGAACCAGAGTCTGTTTCGACCCAAGTGACTTACCAGGGCACTGCGTCTCTCTCAGCCTCGTAATGTTTATATTCTAACTCACTGTTTTGTTGATTTCTCGACACACTGCAATAGTCTTTATACCTTCGCATTCCTTTAATTTCCTCCTTCTTTTTTTTATCTTCATTTCAGGTTCTCGTTCTTTTTATCCAAAGTTATATACATTAGTTGCTCCTGGCGATTTTAGTCAACCATATATCGGAGTCAAGTGTGCGTATATTACGGTTGTTTTCTGTTCACCTCCAGTGGCGGCGTCCTCCTCCTGTGGACACATTGGTAGTTCATCGCGCCTTTGGACTGATGGACGAAAACAACTCAGACTTTAAAGACCAACAGTGCACCACCTCCTCCATCCACACAGGTGACCACACGAATAACGGCACCTAACACAAGACAATATATTTTGAAAAAAAAAAATGTCTTCTAACTAGTTTTAGTAAATGTATTTTGTTAACATACAAATTAAGTTTTAATTTTATTTAAATTCTATTTCGGGAGAGGGAAAGACACTTCTACACGTGAGTTGAAGTCAACCAGTTAAAATTAATTCCTGCTTATTCAATTACGATAAACATTCATAATACGAACCTTTCGCAATCTACAGTAAACCGAAGAATGCGGCCGGTTAACTTCCTGGTGGAAGTGAAAATAAGAAAAACTCTTCGGGAGGTCAAATTGTCCTTGAGGCGACCTCTGACTTTAAAAGACACCGTCTATCTAATTATGGTGTGTGTGTGTGTGTGTGTGTGTGTGTGTGTGTGTGTGTGTGTGTAATAGCTGTCATCATGGTACTATCAACCACATCATAACCCACGAGGCTGGGTGCTGCCGCTAACATCACTATACCCACATGCATCTCGTAACTGCTTACTCTTAGCTGGTTTATCACCTGTCAATAGTAAATATAATATTTCCGCCTCGTATATAAACATTATTTATTTGTATTCAAACAATTATAAAATGTGATTAGCTCTATATAAATCTCTATAATTAACATGATTCAGTGTTCCCGAAAACGTGAAGAATCCAAAATCTAAACTACTTCACATTTATTGAAGTAACAAACAAAACGTCTCCCACCTCATATGAAAATGTAGGAACTAATATTTTTTTTTTCTATTTACAGGTGGAGGGCGCGGTGGCCTGCCTGCCTGCCACCTCCCGGACAGACGGCCTCACAACCCAAGTATCTCCCTGCCTCTCCAGGAAAGGATTATCGTCTGCACTGCGTGCATTAGTGCTCTCACAATGCCAATGTATTATTACTTTACAAGCGCCATATTGAGATAGGTAAAGATTCCTTGTGGAATACATAATTAAGTTAAATTGCGTTCAGGTCAAGTGTGTAGTGACCTATTGTTGACTACAGTGTACTGTAAGAGTGGAAGATGAGTGGCTACAGTGTGAACGTGTGGCTACAGTGAGTGGGGTATTAAGATACAGTGTGCATGCTGGTGTAACTGCAATACTCAGAAGAACGGGTGGGTGGTGCAGGGTGGAGCTACTTCCTGGCAGCCCTCCACCACCCACACTCAACCTTATGTTTGATTTTCACCATTTTATATAGCGAATAAGGGCATAAAGATGTGAGGTTAATGAATTAAAGAGGAGCAAACAAAAGGGCAGTGATGGTTGAAACGATGAGTGAGGCACTGGACAGCCAAACAGACACTACTGCAGGTGGAGCGTGTAGTAGACTAGCAGCTGCTCGACCTGGAGGAGGGGCGGGAGGGGGAACGCTCTAGTCTTGTGAGGGTCAGGGACGCTGTCGCAGCCTGGCACCAGCCCCCCACCCCACCAAACACACACCACCACCACACTACCACCCCACACCACAACTACCTCCTTACGCTCTTGTACAGCCTGTCACCAACCCACCTCCACTACTACTGCCTCAATGACCCACACACCATGTCCCTTCACCCCCATTTTTCCGGAGTCTGGGTCACGCCCTGGTTAAGCAACGTAATGCTGGCATCAATATTCATTCCCACGTATTTACTGCCAAAGAAACAGTCACTGATATCATTACACGTAGCCACTACGAACACTACAAACCACCACTATCATCACAAAATATCATATATACTATCATTACTCGCCACCATCGCTAACACCACCCAACTACCACCGCTTTATAGTTAGTACTGTACAGATACATTAACTACCTACTGGCGCTCACGAGACGACAGTTAACTACCACTTGAACCTGACGACCCACGCCGGAAAAAAAATAGAGTATCTCCAGAATGTGTTTAATTTTGAATGGGAATGACAATTATCTCTAATTATTTGTATTGTTTGTCCCAGGTATTAAAACAAATAATCCAGAGAAAATATTTACAATGTCTCAGTCCCTGGAGAAGGTGGTGCTCCGTCCTTGTGGAGACCAGCTGTCTCCTGCAGTTATTTACAAGGAAGGGACGAAACGAGAGAAAGAAAAAAAACGGAAAAAGACAAATAGACTGACAGAAAGAGTTGCTCAAGCAAAGTAAAACAAAAGTTGCCTGCCCTGTCCCTCTTAACATGGAGGGAGAGAAACAGACACACGAATTGAGAGAATTGAAATCAGGAGAACAGTTGTCGGTGTTGCCCCTCGTTCACTCGCCTCACTTATCTTTACACCATATGTCTGAGAAACTGTAGAGTGGGTGCAAGTGTGTCGCCCTCCTCCACGCTCCTCCCTGGCTAGTTACCTGATCATCACCAGAGCACTGACACCCGTGTTCGACCTGCCAGGGGATGTGATCTAGGCTAACACGTATGACAGAAAGTGCGATGAGTGTGACTGTCAAGGGATCATACATACTCTTGGGTAAGGAAGTATTTGTGCCATGAGAGTCAGACACCCTGTCCTGTATGTAATAAAACCCCTAAGTTTAAGTATTTTAAACAGCCCCATCCTGTGAGCTCTATTATTGTAGCATTATAAGAATAACAGCAATAGTATTAATAATAAATTAATAATAATGATAATATTAATATTAATAATAATGGTTTGCTCAGAGATTAGTTTGTTTACTTAATGGCGTGGCATTTGTTTATACAATATTCACGACCCTGCTACATGATGACTGACAGACTCGTCTTAAAAATTTCCCCAAGAAATGGACGTTGTATACTGGATATATAACATACCAGTGCAATGAGCATACTGTATTTTATTGTATACATGTACTTCAGGATGTAGGACACTTCACATTGTATATTTATTGTCTTAGGTTTTGTTGTGCTTTAGTGAGAGGTTCCCTTCATGGCAGTTAAGCAAGCGACACCTTGATGTTACTAACCCCAAGTACTATGGACGCTGACGCTATAGTATTTATGGTACTATTGATGGTGGTACTGGTGTTTCTAGTACTATTAACGCGGGTACTGGTGTTTCTAGTACTATTGACGCTGGTACTGGTGTTTCCAATACTATAAGAGTGCATGCTACAGTTTTAGGCACCATAGAAGCTAGTGCTAGTATTTCCAGTACTAAGGAAATTGATATTAGTGTTTCTGGTAATACATAACTAGAGGCTCCTATTTCTAGTTTTATGGAAATAGATGCTAGTGTTTCTAGTACTAAGGACGCTGGTGCTAATGCTTCTAGCACTGTTAACTAGGCCTGCCAGTTACAGACAGCGCCCATAGTGGGGGACATAAAGGGAATGCTCTAGTATGTGAAAACTGACGTTGTCAAACATGCACAACGTGTACATAATACAATTGAGCAATGAATTATTCTTAAGGATATATTAATTTTTCTTTATATATTATTGACATTTGTATTTAAAACAATCAGTCGAAGTCTCATATTAACCTCTGAGTGATTTAGTCAGCGCTTGAGGGTCAGATGAGTATTATCTAGAAATCATAGACGAAGGCATGTAGGTCTAATGTATAGCTGACCTTCAAACGCAGACCCTCAGATAATGTTTTAGAATTCGGACCTAGGGGGCAAGAGTACCCCGGGAAAGAGAAATAAGAGAGAATTGACACACTTAAAGAGGTCATTCGCGAGTTCAAAGGAGTCATGATACTGTTCCTGGAGACGTTACTTGTGTGTCTACTGGGACCAAGAATCACTAAGTGTCATTCCAACTGGGAACCTCTAAAATAATGTATCTAACAACTATTCACTTGGGTTGGCGAGATATATATGCCGGTATCTCCCGTGCCGTAGTGAGATTCTGTACAAAGTATCACCTATAAGATCCATACACCATTAACGTCTACAGAACAGAAATAGGCTCCAAAAACAGAACGGTGGCAACTTCTAAATACTCCAAGGACACCCTAACTTGTGAATAAATCACTTATAATGGCTATACCGGAGCACTGTTACATCTCAGCTGTACATTGAAAGATGCTTTTTACTGTTTGTCTTATTTGTTAGCAGCTCAAACAATGTACATATGCATATGGTTTATACCTGAACTAACAATGATCAATTACTGTATGCTGGTGGACTCAGCACTGTTGCAAGGGTCTTGTGTATAGCCCACTCTCTGTTGTAGGGAATAAATGTTGGACAATTATTTTGTTTCTCTCCCCCTTAAAACCACTTACACAAAGACGTATTGTAAAGAAATTAAACAACAACTAACATTTCATACGCAAGAAAACACACAAACTAAAGGAACAACGTTGTTTACACTAGGCTCCTGTACTGGGGCATTCAGGTGTAACAATAATATGGACAAATGGTGTGAAGTAGGTGGCAACTTAAGCATTTCTTCACACTTACGTGAAAATAAACGATGACAAAACACTGGGAGTCACGCCAGAAAAGTCCCAAGACTGCAAAATTCGGCATATGAACGGTCTAGATCCCTGTGTCAGGAAGAACGATTGCTATACCGGCACAATATCTCCAAAATGCTAGAAAATACGCACAGTACTGGAAATTACAGAAACTGATGTACACTTATTGACAGTACACTGGAGGAAACGCTACGGGAATTTTAGGTAGTTTGATTTTGTCTGTATTTTCAATAAATTGTTTTATGTAATGTATAGATGAAAATTCGGTGGCAGCAAGGAAAAAATTAATTACAATTGTTAACATCTTATTTACCAGTCCTATGTTAATCGTATGGAATTGCACGGCCATTTCCCAAAGCTAACCATACTGACATAAATAGTGGGGCAGATTAAGCCAATTGCTTGTTCAATACTTTTATTGTTTTGCATGCAAAAATAATTACTATTTTTTTTAGTTTTCTGAATACAAAATGGTTTTATTTGATCATTATAACTGTGCTAAAACATACCTCAATTATATCCTGGTGGACAATGAAGTACTGAAGAGAAGAATCATAACCAAATCAGTATCCAGCGTTGTGAAAATTACCGCCAATTTACTAACACACATGTAACTTGATCCATATTTTGCTGATCCGTTAAAATATCGTGTTTTAAATGTACAATGTGATGACATGATGTATAAAAAAGAAAGAAAAACACATTCAAATCACTGGTGTTTGTAAAAAAATATATAATTTAGCATTTCATCACTACCTGTAATATAAATATGTACCCTTAATCATGACCTTGACCTAACAAATGATGGTCATTCCTTCACCAAGTGTCCTGCGTAACTCTGCTAAGACTCTGTAAAACAATGTAATACTACAGTGGGTAAATCAAAATACATAATTCAGTTTTAACCATCACCACCAGGGGTCAGGGGGCATATTGCACACGATATCCTTGGGGAAACTGAAATAGACATGAAGGCAATGCCTATACTCAACTGGCACTTCTGTTTGATATAACTTATTACAACTTCCAACACTTACTGCTGGAATATTATAGTCTCCCCTGTACCTCTGGGCATACTCAAATGTCTAGCAGGTTATGATAATAGCAAAAAGTATGGGCGTCTGCAGGGGGGTGCATGTTCAACGTGCATCGCCAGGTGTTGGGTAGAGTCTTCACTGAAGACGTGATTGATCGTTTTGAAGCTGATAAGCGCCGCCTGCAGTATATAACTATTGAAATTTCGCTGCTAATGTTCTGAGCAAGTCATCATCGTGACAGACACTTAGAATTGCCCATCGCTAGATTTTCAGAATTATTGATATCAAATTAATCATTTTCGTTAGTTTTTTAAAACTTAGGGTTAATCCTACTATAATTTTAACGGGTAGTAGTTAATAATTTGATGATAATAGTGATACAGTACATGATGTTGCTGATCATACATTACTCGAAAGTAACTTGATCATAATTTATATGGATGCATATATCTGCTTTGAATAAAATGAGATGTCGGGTCCTGTCTTGCCACCCCCCCACCTCGAAAAAATCCTGCGGACGCCCATGAATATAGGGAGCAACAGCAACCCATAAGTTAAACATGACTGGAGCCATTTTCCTTATTCAATCCACTCCTGTTTGCTATAACTTAATTGCAACTTCAACACTTACCGATGAAATGTTATCGAATCTCTCATGCCCCTCTGAGTACATCTATATGCCGATCAGAATGACATAATGGCAGCACAGATTGTATGGAATAATCAACAAAGATGGCGGCGCTGGTCGGGCAGTAGCTTCAGGCAGAGCCATAGATAGAGTTGGATAAACTCCATTTAGGCTCTGGCTTCAGGGATATGATGGCATGCCGCCTCCAGTTTATTAAATCTCCTTGAGTATACCTGTGGACCTGTGTCTTAAATATATATTTTTTCAGTTTCTAGGTATGGTCTTTTTTCTTTGCTCAAATCTGAATTATAGTGTGATGTTCTTAAAGTTTGCATAGACCAATTACAAAATTCTAGCACGAACAAAAAACATAATAAAAATGAGTCTAAGTTGATCTGTACCTCTTAGCTCACAGAAATGTATCTATCCGATACAGTAAAGTGAAACCCATGGAAAAAATTATGACCAGAAATAACTAGTAATGAAATTGCACCCAAATTTCTGGAGATGTTATTTGCATAATAATAAACAGAATAGACCCAACATGCACAGAACCTGACCTAACCATCCAAACCTAACCTAACCTAACCTAACCTAACCTAACCTGACCTAACCATCCAAACCTTACCTAACTTCCTAACCTGACCCCCGTAACAGCAAAAGAAACGTACCTCAATATGAAGGTGGGTCAAGTGGAGTGATGGCATCCAACTGTTACACCTCAACAAGTGATTTTCCTTTAATGCCACATCCCTGTCGCATTTTGGACACTTGTACGGGCCTTCCATCAAGTCCATTATCACATATATAAGCTAGGATTTCATTCACGTGGTAGCGTTAGCGCCAAAATTAGGTCATATTGAAATGTACGCTGTTGTTTCCACTGGTATGGTTACATTAGTGGTAGAGTTAGCATTGTGTGTTTGCAGTACATTTCAATCAGTCCGTAGCAATTGAAAAGGCAATCACATGGAGATGGACGAGGGAATTCCGCACTGAGACGTCGCTAGTTCCTGTTTCATACACGTGCCCTTCTCACCCAGCAAAATATTCTTTGAATTTTTCTTTATCTAAGCTTAGCTCCTTTACCAAAGTATTGTAGGCTCCAAATTTGAATCGATTCAGCAGTAATCTATGCTCCTACCATCTATGTTTCCCTGACCGTTTTCCCTTTGCATCATGCATAATCTTATACAAAACCAGGATAATTAATAGCATATCATCCTGTTCATATACTGTGTCATGATCGTGATGACGGCTAACCTGAAAACCTTAAGGATTCATATTACGCTCAAACGTCCACAAAACCTTCCGAGTCCCCCAGTGGAAACATCCCCCGTTTTCTGTTTCCTTTTAATATAATCCAAGGATTTCGAGGCAAGACGCTGTATGTTGGGACCTGTTGCCATCCAACCCTTTGTAATCAATTTAATTTTGCTTTTGATAACTCAGTCAGAGTATTGTTAGTGAGGATAATAGTAGGTACTGAAACTGAGTTCATAGTCTCAGTTTCAACGTCAGAGTGTACAGTAAATTAATTCATCGAAATAGAAGTAGGTGGACTCTGGCCTGTTCTGAGTGAGGGTGCCGCGGGCATTTCAACCGTTAGTAAGTGCTCGTCCCTTCACCCATACAGGTAGGCCATTCCACTGTATTGTAATTCGCCCTTCTTTAAGTGATTTGACCCAATTAATAGTTGATTGTGCAAGTGTTACAGTAACGTAGTTGATATGCTCTGAGTGAAGTCATATTTACGTCTTTAACGTCCCCTGAAACGTGATGTCGTTGTCACAGTAAGTGCTCATCCCTTCACCCATACAGGTCCCTAACGCAGCCTAGGCCGTGTCTGTAGCGTGGATGTTGTATCCACTATGGCTGGGGAGATGTCCGAGGTCCAGTAGGATCAGTTACCTTCGTGAGACCCGGCCGTCAGACACTTCAGACTACCTATAGCCCCCATAGCTGGCTCGTCTGGCCCTAACGCTCGGCCTGCGAGGTGACCCCGGATCACCAAGCCACACACCACTACCAGCCCCCATCATTGGTGGATGAGTGTCTAACTCAGTAGGGCTATTTGTGTGGTGGAATTAATCCACTGGGATCTTCAGAGTTCGTCGGAAAGTACTCCATGGTGGCAGGACCCCATGGCGGTTGCTTGAGTATCACTCCTGACGACTGAGTGTTGTAGTGGCAGTTGTCCCTGGTCTTTATGGTGCTAAGTGACTATAAGAGTTATGTGTTATTGAGTATGTCCACCCAGTAGTGGTGTGAGTATGTTGAGCCTGAGGGCATAGTACCAGATTTCGTCTGTTGGTACATATATATCCTTTCTCCTAATTCCATATTAATGTTTAAATAAATTTTGTATTTGTATATTGTGTCTATTATTTACCTACAGTATTTACCGTTATTTCTTCCCTATTACTTGATATTATCATTACATATACCCACGAGCCTCCTCTCGTCACGCTACCAATGGTAATAAGTATGAGAGTAAAAGGAATTGTTACTGACACACAGGCCCTTATAAAATGGTGGCAGCGATGGTGATGTAATGAACATAGTATCGAGTTGGGAGGAATGACTGTGATACTGTAGTTTTTTAACTGTGAGTTATAACCATTTCTCTGTACGGGTATTTAATAACCATTCCACTGTAACTAATGAGTATTTCAGATTGCTAATAATTTTGTTCCATATTTTTCCAAGGTACAGATTTTTGTGGTGGTTTGCAGAGAAAGTGAAATAAGTTCAAAGAAATACCTTGGAGTTAGGTTAGAAAAAAAAAGTCTTGTTTAAAGTAAAGATACCTGCAACAATAACTTGAGTGTAGAGTGTGAATAAGGTTCATTAATATTTGAAGAATTTTGATGTGTAACAATCTGCCCAAATTTTTTTTTCCGTTGTTAACTCAGTATTACTTACAGACAGTGAGTACATGTTTGGACCGTGGCACTAGTTTGTGAAATGTTTTCATCGTGGGAGTGCCCAGTGTTTTAATTCTGAGTTGCTAACAGAAGCATTGCACCATATGCAAAGGTTAAGTGGATGCTAAATTTGTACTTGTAATATTCTTTAGTTTATGTGTTAGGTAGGATATATATCCCAT